GTAATTGTTTTGTCAATGTTCTCGTCGATAGTCAATATGCAAGAATAGTCTTTCCAACACATATGTACACACACACACACACACATATATATATATATATAAATATGTATGTATATATATAAGCACATTAATTATTTATTACTTGGGATGGTTGTATCAAATACGTTCCTCACAAAATTTTAAAACAACATGAGCAAGAAGGATAAGCAATACCAATTTGCACTATCCCATTTTGTTTAGCATATATATTACTTTGACTTTTTGATACTTACCATCCCAATTGGATTGAAAAATTAAGTAGACGAGTAATGAAGTACTCAAAGAATTCTAAAAGGCAAAGAAAACCTCAATTGATGTAGGAATTACTTATGTATTGTCGCACTAATGTATATAGATAACTCATATTCTTTAATTTTACATATATTGTGAAAAAAAAAATTAGTCTATTGAATTTATACCCAATTCACGAGACCTATGAAGATGTTCTAACATCGATGCTTTATATTTCAACATTTGCCAAATAAAAATTTTAACCTTATGTCTCTAAATAGATTTCCAAACACTTGTTTTAAATTCTCAACTAACCTATTACCCACTATCATGATATTATGTAGAGCTCTATGCTTCTCCACCAAAAAAAAAAAATCGTAATTATCTTGTCACGTAAATAATATTTCATAATTAACATAGAAAAAATCAGAACTTATTCTAAGACTATTCTCACTAAGGTCACTCACGTTCTTATACATAAAACTTCATTTTATATACTGTTAATCGCTTTTACATCTTATCAACACATGTTGTTGAGTTACTTTAAAACTCTAATTTGCTCGCAATGAAAATCATAGTATATGGAAAAGACTTGTCTCTATAACTCACTTTATATGTCAGTCTATTCACCAAATCACCCCGATTATTTTACCTTAAAGAAAATTAACCATCAAAACTAAAACTAACTCGAAAAATCTCAAAAATATTTTTTAACATTAACATTGTGCTCTCAACAAGACCATAAAAAACTAAATTGTTACAAATTGAAGCCAATTTAACACCATCCTAACTCAACAAATCTAAACCCAATTAAAAATCATATCCCGTTAGTCTTTTCATTAATCTTGCTAAACCTTCTACCACTAAGCTAAAAAGAAATGGGGCAACAAGTCCTTGTGTCTCAAGCTTTTCTTCGATCATAAGCTTCTCCTAGAAAGTGATTCATTGATTAAAGTCGGCATTCTAATCATATATATACACTTTATAATCTTCTTTAACTTTTAGATTAAAAACTGTTAGATTATTGATATTTTTATCACTTTTTACGAAGACGTAAAATTAAAAAATGGAGTGTGCATATGTATCGTACATATGAGGTAATTGTGTTATTAGTTATCATTTTTATTTTAAAATGATTATATTTTAGTTTTGTTATTGATTAACCATGTATAGCAAAAGTACACAACACACTATATCATCTTGTATATTTTATTTTAGCTCCTCCAACAAAAAGCATCAAGCTCCGGTACTGCTTATATTTCATTTGAAGCTATATAAATCAAATATACATGGAAGAAAAACCCTAGCAACAATCAAAGATTCCCACTTTCTGGTATTTATTAATTAGGTCAAAATTCAAACAGTCAAAATTACTTTGTATGGAAAAAAAAAGTGATTAAAATTAATTTTTGGCAATCATCCGATGTTTGACTTCATCAATATTCTTATTCTTCCCACAAATTAAAACCCTTAGAACCCTAACCCTCACATCCACAGACTAAAGTAAACCTGAGACTCATGGTAGATAACCTCCGGTTCCTGGGTGCCAGCAAAATTCCAAGAAACCAAATTATTTGATTAACGTCTTTGACTACAACAATACGCCCATGCGACTTTTTGTAATATAAGAAACTTCAACGACGTATACCAGCACTGTATATACATATACATATATATTCTTATACACGTATATACATATACATATATATATATATGTATAGACTTTGTGGGTCCGAACATTGCGGCTTGAACCAAGATCTCTCTCATCGCTTGTCAATTTGATATTTTACATACTAACGTTCTATATATATTATTATGTGGTTGAAGTTGAATTATTCTTATTTTAATGGTATAATATGTATAGTTGCCTCACTACTACTGTTTCTTTAATGCAATTGGATTGGCTGTTGACGTTGGACATTTTTAATTTGGTTTTTGATGGAAAAGGATAAAAGTTTGAATTAATATGTAAATTTATAAAGTCAAAGAGTTCAGGCTCTGTCTATATAATGAGATTATATGGCTCAATATTGAAATTATTTAGAAGAGATCAGAAAAATATTAAGTACCAACTCGTTCATGGAGAAAGTTAGAGTTACAGAAGAGAAGAGAATGGGTTCTCCTGGTAATCATGAAGAAGAAGAAGATTCAACAAAAGAAAAAGCGGCTAAGGTGCGAAAGAAGATATTTACATATATGATATTTGTTAGTTTTCTTCCATGAAACATTAGCTCTATATACATACATATACATATATATATATATTTGATGGATTAGCTGATGCTTATATATATTTTTTGCAAAGATCATATACTCGGATAGTTAATGAACGTATATCTTAATCTAATCCATCTAGTTATTGCTTACGATATCAGATAATTTAATTTGAAGGGATGATCCCTGCAATAGCAGAGATTTTAATATCGACTACAAGACACGGGTACATACATATATATGTGTGTATATACATATATATTATAATTAAAATTCAAAACTCGTGGGTGAACAGCTCCAAGATTTCTTGTGTAATTGTGTTCCTTCCAAGTTAATTAGTAATTCATGGAAAGCTCTTTCTTTTTTTCTTTTTTTTTTTCAGAGTTTATTTACGACTACATAAATACAGATACATAAATATATATATATATATGTATGTATAGATGTGTGCATATTTATCTGCATGTGCATGTATGTATGGTGGGGGCATCCTTATGTTTACCGAAGACTAATATTAATATTTTTGTTTATTTATGAAATTAAAATAATCAAGTTGCATGGTTTATAATATTAATTATATGAATTAAATTCCTAATTTCAGGTTGGAACCAAGAGAAAGAATCCCGATCATGATGATATAAAGTCATTATCACCTAATCAAAAAGATTTAGGCTGCAATAAACAGGTAATTATATATATATATATGTATATACATATTAAGAATCTTTAATTATTGGCTCCATGTGAATTATATAAAGAAAACGACCGTTAGGAGATACGTGGGATTAAAATCAATCAAAACAAACAATTTGATGAACTGCAAATCCGATGTTTCAAAAGTCTTACTAATAATTGAATTAAACTTAATTTTCTTCAAAGTCGGCTCTTGATTTCGAAGACTTTGACCATGATTAACTGCATGCTGAGACACAACTGTTGATGACTTTTAGATGCCGTCGTATTCCCTGCTCATCATCAACTTACGCTCACAACACCCAGCTAGTTTCTCATTTGCATTGCACTATGTTATATATATATATATATATATGTATACGTATACATACAAGCACAGACCCTAATAAATATAATGTGTTAAACTGCAGGAACCTATTGTGTCAAACACAGAAAGCTCAACCATGGAGCATGACTCTAAGATGATATCTTCTTCAATCCTAAAAGAGCAGGTTAGATCACTAAATGATATTATAAATTATGATAATCAAAATGTATAAATATATATCTTCGACCCACCCTTTTGGGAAAGCTTGTGGAAGTACAATATATCTTGGACAGTGAAAACTGAATAATCTGGCATTAATACTAAATTTAAATGGTAATAATGAAAGTAATCGTCAATGTAAGTAAAACCTAGGGAGTGAATTAAATAAAACTGATTCAATTCATATATGTAAATCTGAAAATTAAAGTGTAGGAACTAATTATTTCATATCATGTGTATATGAAATATTCTTGAGGATCCAAGATCTGCTTTGTAATCTTAAGAAAAGAGAAAATAAAAAAAAAGGTTCAATTAGTGATGACATATATATATATGTGTGTGTGTGTGTATTATTAACTCTTTTTATATATATAAACGTTTTTTATATTCATGTAGGATAATAAGCTTGAATCTACGAGGGCAGAAATAGGGGAGGTACGAGAAGAGAACCAAAGACTAAAAATGTATTTAAGTCGAATAATGAAGGATTACCAAACCTTACAAATGCAATACTATGAAGTAATCCAACAAGAAGATCAAATTAAGAAATCGCCGCATCAAAGTCACCAAGAAACAATGGAGGAATCCGAGCTTTTCTCACTTAGCCTTGGACGAGTCTCGAATGATCATTCAAGAAAAGATTACGAGAAGAACAAAGAAAAACAAGATGAGAAAGATAAACTAGAGGGATTAAGTCTTGGGTTGAACTACAAGTATGAAGTGTCCAAATCATTAGATACTGCTTTGCCAAATTCAAGCCCTGCCAACAGTATCTCTGATTATGAAATAAAGGAAGAAGGTACAGAGACTTGGCCACCCAATAAAGCTGTCAACACTACAACAGTTAGAAATACAGAAGACCAAGAAGTTTTGCAGCAAAACGCAGTCAAGAAAGCTAGGGTTTCTGTCAGAGCTAGATGTGATACACCCACGGTTCGTATACATTAATTACTAATCCATATTATCTATATATTTATACATATGTATATTCAGTTAAAACATATCACTAATATGGAGGATATATATATATATATATATATACAATTGCAACAGATGAATGATGGGTGCCAATGGAGAAAATATGGACAAAAAGTTGCCAAAGGAAACCCATGCCCTCGAGCGTACTATCGCTGCACTGTTGCACCTTCATGCCCAGTAAGAAAACAGGTAATTAATCTTTATTTTCCTAATACAATAGTTATTACATAACAGCACATCTTACATATATGTCTACATATGTATGCGTTTATATAGGTGGAAACATCGAGAAAGCATACATGGCGTCTGCATGCATATAGCAGAACAATATCATTTGCTATTAATCAAGTTATGCATGCATGTATATATATCATTCTGTTGTCTATGGATGCATGACAGAATCATATATAGTTCATACATGATTACCTTAAGGACAGTTACTCTATACTAGTATTAATAACTCTTGTTTAATTAACCTCTTTTATTTATAAATTTGCACTTTCTAATTAAAACTTATACTTCAAATTTTGGATATTATTGCAGGTGCAAAGATGTGCAGATGATATGTCCATCTTAATCACCACTTATGAAGGAACACACAACCACCCTCTTCCTATGGCAGCTACTGCAATGGCTTCCACCACTTCAGCCGCAGCTTCAATGCTTCTCTCTGGTTCATCTTCATCAACTTCTCGTCCTTCACCCTCCAATAATCCACCATTACCTCTACCAACTACTCCCTCTAATCTCCATGGATTAAACTTCTACCTATCTGATACCTCAAAATCCAAGCAGATTTTCTTACCCAACTCTCCACTCTCATCCACAACATCATACCCTACCATCACTCTTGATCTCACCTCATCAACACCATCCTCTTCCTCATCTCCATTTAATAGATTCTCCTCTCAAACTCCAAGATATCCTTCCACAAGCCTCAACTTCAGTTCTTCCTCACAATCCAACACATTATATTGGAGTAATGGTTTTCTTACCCATGGCAATAATAACAATATTCCCCAACCCTACATCAAGAACCTAAATCTTGGAAGACCGTCTATATTAGAGAACAACATTTATCAATCATTCTTGCAAAAGAATCATCAACAATCTATGCCACCAGATACTGTTGCTGCTGCCACTAAGGCAATCACTACAGACCCAAGTTTTCAATCAGCTTTAAGGGCAGCTCTCACCTCAATCATTGGAAACAATGGTAGCAGCGGTGGTATTAGTGCTGGAAATCAATTAGGTGCAGATAAGTTAAAGTGGGGAGTAGAGCAACTTCCATTTGTTTCTGGTTTCTCGTCAGCAACATCTTCAAAAACCAATGGATGTGCATCCAGTTACTTGAACAAATCATCTTCAACAACAACTCAATCAGGGAGTTTGATATTTCTGCCTCCGCCATTGCCATTTTCCACTTCCAAGAGTGCATCTGCATCACCTAGTGATCATACTAAAGATCAAAGCAGTTGATTATTTTTTTGGAACTAATCATATTTGTTTGATTTTTGTGCCTTGTAATAATGTCCATATGTAAAGAAATGTTGCATAGTTGTATAGCAACAGAATGCAAAAGAAGTTAAATCTTTTAGTTTCATTTGGGTCGATCATATTTTTTTATATACTCATGAGGTATGGACTGAATTAAATATTGATTAGCAAAATTAAGCATAGAAGAAAGCTGGAATTATCTCTATTTTTAGCAGTTCAAGGGAGGGAACATTTTTTGGGTTAATTTATGCGGGTCACTTGAAAAAACAATAGAGTTAAACCATTCTCGACGACAAACGTATTATGTATAGACTAAAGTGTAACTAAAATAGAGTTTAACTTGATATCACACTACATTCTTGCACAATAAGACTTTGGTTGAAATTCAATATTGGATTAGGTAAATAGTTTGAAATCGTGGATGAGATAGTTCTTCGAGTAGGAAAGTGGTCCAAGTCTAAGATGAGGGGATTCTAGACACTATAGGATGTGTAATATCGTAAAGGAAAATTCTCTTGATAATCTTATTTTCAATAACATTGTCAATTACAATAGAGTCATTGGTAACATAATATTGCTAAATTTCCTTGGCAGAGTGGACAATTTGATTAAACAAAATCCACATCTAAGCCAGTAAGATGGAGGAAAGATTAATGATCATTGTAATTTATAAATATGGAAAATCATCATAAATCTCGTGGTTTTGAGGAATTTATGTCATCTTAAGTACAAAATTACTGACATAAGACATCATTTGATAATTTTATCATTAATTAATAACAAAGTTTACTTTCGTCATTAAAAGTATTAAATAAATTTTATTAAAAAATATAATTTTTATTAAAGATTTAATATCTAAAATTGGTTCAGTTGATAAAACATGTTAACTTTTTTAAAAAAAATAAAGAATACAAATATCCTATTAGATAGAAATAGTAATTGATAAATATATTAATAATAATTAAGATTTTTAATTATTTATTTTAAATAAGGACAACTTACTAAAAATCTTTGAGATCTCATAAAAGTTTCAATAAATTCATATAATCTCATAATTGATAAATCTACATCAACTCCAAGTGCCCTGTCAACAATGCTTGAAGTTGATTTAACGGCTCTATTAAAGTAATATTTATTTGAAGAAGTTTTGAAATTACAAGGGCTAGTTTAGAACAAAAAGTTTTTGGAGTTTAAGCAGAAAAATGTGAATAAGACAAGAGTTTATTATATATTTAAATCTTTAGATTTGTGAATTTCTTACGAATTTTGTCGATGTTATAAGTTCTTCATATTGTTCATTGTAAATGTAATATTAGTGTTCATCTTGTTAATATGTCATGGCTATATTTTTGTGATTTTTTTTAAGCTTCGGATTTCTACAAAGTGTTTGTTTTGTTAAGGGTTTTTGGTATTTATACTAAAATTTTGATACTTATGAAGTTCATACATTTTGTTTTATTCTTTAACTTGTGGCAATATAGTGTTGAAGATGAAGCTACTTTAGGCTCACAAATATGCTCTGGGTATAAAATGGTTATGGATGTTATTTATTTTGGGTAGAATATAGTTGCACATGCATGCAACTTACCTTGGTGGATTATAGATAATATAAATTGCATTAATAGTATCGAGCTGTCTTAGCTACGACATTTAATAATTCGCAATTTTCTCAATTCAATTATTTTTGTTTCTTGTATAAAGACCTAATAATATTTTTTTTCTTTTCTACAAATATCTTACCATGTGTTATTATTTCTCATATTTTTGATTTTTTAGTATTAAAAACTTGTATAAAACAATGATTTTACAACAATAAACAAATGAATCAATAAAACAAATAATAAAGGATTAGGGTAGATAATACTACTTTGATCTATCGAGTATCTTAAATACTATACCCTTGTATCAATAATAGATGCATGAAATGGCCATATAATCAAGTTGCATATTTATTAAGTGTTTTTACAAAGCATGAGGATTATGGTTGGTTTGTGAACCAAAGAAGATCAATTATCTTAAGTGAAGACTGGGGAAAAGTCTTTATGGAATTACGTTATTTTGAGGGAAACACTAAGTGATGTGAGCACGGATCATCTTGGGCCACATGGAAGAGATATTATCATGCCAAGTGGGCCCATAAAAAGGAGCCATACCCAAGGATTACAACAAGTTTTCTAACTCTTCATCCAAACTTAGATTAATGAGGAAGATGAGTTTGGACTCACTAAAGATGTAAAGACTTAGAACTTAAAAGAAAATAAAGTAGTGAATTAAATGTAGAAGCAAAATAACAGAGTTTAGGGTTTATATTTCTTACATAATAATTTAGAATACCCAATAGAACTACGAGAATACTTCTTCTAAAAGAATAAATGAAAATTAAGGAAATGAATAAGAGACAAATAACTGAGTATTTTAGAATAACCTTTACTACCTTCTGAAGAGAGTCTGGGTAGTGAACTTATTCACAACTCTCTCATTGATCAGGATCTGGGTCTTAGTCCTCTTGATCTGAAATAGTTAATAAAATGCTGAGCTACACTAACCTAGTAAGAATATCACACTACTCACTGATACAGAAACTAAAGGTTGGTAAAAATCATAAAAACAACCAATGAAGCTCTTGATTTAAGTAAGTTTATTTATCATAAAAAAAATAATTTATTGCATATATTTACCGTTGCGAGATTTTCAAAATCGACCTATAGAGACAATAACTCAAATAACATTCTAATCTTATTTTCGAGTGAGAAAAACAACCATTTTCTTTTTTTTATTTGTCTATTGGTATCCCTAGGGTGAACCAATATTCAACATTGTCAATTAATCGGCAATTCCCATACCACATCCGGTATGAGTGTTAAAAATATCATCCCTCAATACTACGTCCGGTATGAGGGTGAAACGGGTCGTCTTCATACCCCGTCCGGTATGAGATGTAAAAATATCAATCCTCAATACCTCATCCGGTATGAGGCGACGTTCACGATAGGGTTCCCTATGTACCTACTCCGTCCACCATCTCCTAGAATATCCAGTAAGGTTACCATTCATTCATTTACTTAACCAATCAATTTTCTGTTTATATTTAATTTTTAATTTCACAATTTAACCGTAAATCAATGCAAGACAAACAATACATGCATTAAGAAAACATAACTGAATCATTTTACTAATTCTAATATATTATCATGCATTTAAAGCTGTAAAATCAAACAATTGGTTAAACAGCACAAACAAATAATAAATAATCGATTCTTTTCTCCATTAGTAACATGTAATTAATTCTTAAAATTTTTCAAATTATGCAAAATACTGTATTATTGATAATTAAATTTTAATTCTATAAAAGAAAATAAGGTGATAGATTCTTAACCGAATCAGTATTCAAAATACTGAACTTTCTATTGCACCTACTAGCAGTCCACAAGTTTTCTGAATTTTTCTGGATAAATTAAAACACGCTTTACGTACTTAAAAATACTCTAAAAAATCTAAAATCAGTGTTAAAAATTTTTTTCGGTCAATTTTAAAATTTCAGCATGACGTCACCGCAGTGCTCCGGCGACGGCACCCTAGCCCGCAGCGACGGCACCCTAGCCCGCGACGACGGTTTGCCTCGGTCTGGCCGTTTTTGGCCAGTTTTGACCTGTTTCGGCCGGTTTTATATCCATCCATGTGAGAAAACATGTTAAAGAGCCTCAGTTAGTTTAAAAAAAGTCAAAAAAAAAAATAAAAACTTACCGGCGGAGAAATTTTTCGGTGCGGCGGCTCCGCCAGCTCATATTCGCGGCTGGGATTTTTTCTTCGGTCAACCTATAGAAAATAGAATGGTGAACATAATAGTGAAAAAATCACACGAAACGGGAAATGAAAGAGGCTCATCGGAGGCGATTTCGAGTTTTGCCTATAGTTTCCAGCTCATCCGCCGTTCTTTTTGCTCTGATTTGGCCATGGGGGTGTCTGGAATTGATTCCGAGCATATAAAATTTTTTTACCTTTTTTAACAGTCAGAGTTGGCTCCGACGCAGCGACTGTCGGCTCCCTTCTCGGGCGACTGGTTCGTTTTCTCCAACAGGAGGCTAGTGGTTAGGATTTCGGCTCGGTGAGATCCCAGATATTTATACCCATCTCTCTTAAATCTAGACCGTTCATCGTATTTAATCTCGACTGTCCGATCCCATTTAAAGAAAAAATGAATTTGGATCATTCATCGCGTTTATTCTCGATCGTCCGATCGCACTTGACGTGGAAACAGATCCGAACCATCCACGTGCGCAAGAACGCATCTTGAAAGTCTGATCGTGGGCACGCGGATTGCCAGCATGGCCCCGTGTTAGCATGCCTTGTTACGCGGTGTACTCCGATTCGTCGAGGCTATTGACTGAGTGTTCCTACGTAGTATAATTTTTTTAATTACGTTTCGACCCTCAGTTTCTGATTTTTTTTTTCAAAAATACTCTCTGAACCCAAATTTTCACCTCTTTTTCCCAAAATTATTTTTACCCCCCATTCTTAACCTATTTTTTTCCTAATTTCACATTAAATAAAAATTTATTAATTCCAAAATTATATTTTTATACATTTTTTAAATCTTAAAATTAATCCCGGATCAAATTTCTAGCCCAAGGATTACAACTTTCTCTCCCTTAAAAGAAACTTAGTCTTTCAAATTTGTTCCCTCTCATTCAATCAAACAATTGGGGGTACTGGACTTTGAAGTTTGATTCTATCTCTCATGTGGCTTTTCTCTGTTTGTGATTCTGCCATAGGACCTTAACGAAAGAAATTTTCTGATTGTGGAGTACCCTACTCTTTCTGTCCACAATGCCCAATGATTCCTCCTCATATGACAGATTTTCCTAGAGAAAAAGGAG